ATTGTCATTTCTGATTAACTCATTCACTGCCATTGACGACTAAAGTCGTCATTTTAGATCCGACCGTTCACTGCCAATGACGACTTAAGTCGTCATTTGCATTTTTTTACTGTTTGAGCATTGGAACGAGCCCCCGCGCTGAGAGAACAATCATCTCAGCCCTGAAGCCGATCTTCATCCGCATACGTCACAGATCACATGATCAGGAAGCAGACCATCCATGTGTTTGGAGATCGTTTTGGGCCGTTCCTGTAAAAAAAGTGAGGCGCGAACCGGAGAAGCGTCTGCCGATCACAATTCGACAACGGATTATGAAAGAACGGATAACGCTCGAAACACACGGCTTCTTCCTGATGTAAGAGGTGAGTCTCCTCTTTGTTTAGGTTGTTTTGGCATCGACATCATGCTAGCGCGCAACGTTCTGTGACTCTTAAAAAAACAGTAAAAACAGTGAGAAACGCTGGCAGCGAAGGCTGTTAGTGATCAGGAAACGGCTGGCAGTGAATGAGTTAAAGGCCCCATGTGTGAAATCCATTGAAATGATAATGAAAAAATGTGACTCTTTAACGCCATGCAGTTTAGAGAAAGTATTGCAGCTACGGTGGCCCACTCATGAGTTTGACTGTATAATCAGTTTCCAAGCCTAACCCACACAAAGCTTAAAACAAGCTACGACCTCTTTAAAAAATATTTATAATTTTGACTGTTTTATCAACCTACCAGTTCTGAAGGAAGAAAGCTAGTTCTGTTCTTGAAGCTGTCACGATTCACACACGGAGGAGGGGTGACGTCAGCCGGGAGGTCAGGTGTTGTGAGAAATTGTGTTCCCCTGAAATATTCTGTCCACCCATGTCGGAAGATCACACTTCAGGCTATTTTCACAACATTTGTTATAAACTTTTACGGGAAAATTATGTAATGTAATGTAATAATGTTATGCTTGTGATTTTTTATCTACATTTCTTCCTAAAAACAATAAAAAAGATACAATAAAAACATTCTTGTTCACTCTTTTGCGGGAAGCTTATTTATCATTTTTGAAAGTTGTGTAAAAGGATGTAATCTCACTCAGTTCAACCATCTTTTATTTGCGGTAGTTTAGTCCTCATAATGGACAATAAGTTCTGTGAATTTGGAAATATTTGCTCTTGACTGCCTAAGGGAAACAGAATATTTCAGGGGAACATAATTTCCCACAACACCCGTTTCACGTGGATCACGGTGTGCTCGGTGTAAACAAGCTGGCTGCCGCTAAAATCTATGGAGCGATCACTGGCTGCTCGTTAGCCACGGCTGGTGAGGGAGGGCTGGTGAGCCGGGGACACGCTGTGAAGGTCAAGTAAACGATGTTGACTTATCCACCAGCTAATCGTGGCTCACGGCTGGCATGGTGGAGATGGACGTCACGAGCTACTAGTTAGCCATGGCTAGAGCCGGGGGAGACGCTGTGTATGCTGTGCGTAAACTCCCACGGATTACCAGCAAAAGGAGACCCAAGTCTAAAGGTAATGTTTGAGAAGAAACCGTCTGAGTCGGACCGTCTCTGTAACATGTGGAGAACTACGTCACAGTTAGTAAAGTGTTGTGGAGATAAAGTAAACAACTCTGATTTAGCCACTGGCTGGCGGACGAGTGCTGGAGTGTGATGGGCGAGACGGCAGGCTGCAGGAAGACAGGAGACTAGAGTAGAAGGACTTTGGAACGAACACGTTGGGACCGGATCGGGCGTTCTGGTACTGACACGTTGGGACCAGATTGGGAGTTCTGGTACTGACACGTTAGGACTGGATCGGGAGTTTAGAAACTAGGAAAAGACGAATGAACAACTTGCGGTGAGTTTGGGAGTCAGAGACACTAATCGGAGGCTGGCGTCCAGCTAATAGCGGGCGGGGATCTGAACATATGCAGCTTCCTTGTGTTGGACATGATGACAAACTGACTAATTTTATGTGTCTTTTGATTTAATTGCTATTTATTCAAACTAACAAGTACAGCAACGGTGTAGCTATTCTTTTCTAATTTCTTAGTTGAATTAGCAGACTCCATGCTTCCATGGCGCACTGCTGCCCTCTGCTGGTTCTTTCAAGTTACAGTCATAGTCCAAACGCCTAACCCCAAAATTCCACTACTTCCGCTCCGCTCCGCCCCCGCCTTCCGCAGCCGCTCGCTTCCGAACTCAATTTTTACTGGTACCCGCTCTACAACGGCTCCGCTCCGGTGCGGAGACCTGATGTGCGCAAACAGGCATGCGCGGGATTTTCGAGATCTTGCGATACAGTCCGAGCAATAAACGCGGAAGTTAGATCCAAACACCCGTTGTGTGGGAGAAGCATCGAAATGAACTCTTTAATCTGCCCATCATTTGTGTTGAGAGATCAGCAGTGTTTGGATCAACAAAGTGTGACTACTTTGATAGTGGTAACTGTATTTATGGCTAATTTTTGTGCATTTAAAGTTTAGCCGCCATTGATAGTTGTTAAAAGTTGTTAAACCTGTGCATATGAAACAAAAAACGCTTTTTGTTTATCGATTTATTGTGAAAAACGGAAGTTGTGCTTGCTCCCTTTCCTGTTGGGCGGTTGCGATTTCTGTCCAATGAGTGCGTTTACATGCAGCCAGTAACCCTTTTAAAACCCGAATATTCACAATAACCCGGTTCCGCAGGTCCATGTAAACACCGCCAAAAACCCGGATATGCTCATAACCGGGTTTTTAAAAACTACACCTGGGGTAACCCTTTTCTAACCCGAATGCTTGGTCGTGTAAACGCATATCGGGATATCCCCATCAAAGCGTGTGTTCTGCGCATGCTCTGTTCGCAAGGAATCTTGGTCTTTTGAGTAGCGAGACATCTTGTATGCGCTAGAACACCGGAAGTAAACAACAAGTTGGGAGCAACATGGTGAGTCGCGGCACAGCACCACACTTTTGGAGTGACGAGGAAACTAAAGCGCAAACAAACGCGGTCGCTATGTCTTCCGAACTGGGAAATATGTTGTTGTTTTCACGGATACTGGAACAAGAAGAACCGGAAATGATGCATATTGCGTCTGGACATAGTCCATACGTCCTGACGCTACCCCAACGTCCGCATTTAAATCGGGTTATGCAAGTTAGGGGTAACTCTTTCTATTTATGCTTGTAAACGGGTTATTCTGATCAACTCAGAAACCCGAATACCGACCTTAACCCGATCATAACCTGGATATTGGCTGCATGTAAACGTAGTCAATGACTGCGGAGGTGCTCCGGCGTCTGGTGTTCTGAGAAAACGTCCTACTTTGGCAAAACGTCCTACCAGTAGGATAATTTTACGGTGTTTTACATGACACAAACCCTAACCCTAACCATAACCCTAACCCAAAAAATCAAGTATCAACGTCAATAAAAAGTACTAATACTTACTACTTATCTATTTTCCTGCAAATATGACAGCGGAGTAGCATTCCCTTTTTGTGTTGTGCGCATGCGCGCACATGCTCAGTAACAATGGGTAGGACGGTTTTCGGGGTAGGAGAAATTCCCAGAACACTGGCAAAAATATAATCGATCCTATTTTTGCCGGATGGCGGAACGGCGGGCGGCGCACTGCGCCACACGGCCGCAGTAGTGGAACAGCTCTGATTGACTACAACGGGAACGATTTTGCTGCGGAGTTCGTGCCGGAGCGGAGCGGAGGTAGTGGAATTTTGGGGTAAGTGGAGCTCATATGCCCCTCAACAGCTACTGAATTTTAAAATGGTGGATGACCATGGAGTGTCAACCACTGTTTATGTATTTAAAAATGTTAAATTTCAAGTTGAGAGGAATATTTAGAATTGATGTTGGTGAGAAATATTAGTGAAAAAGGAGAAGTTTGTGAACTGGAAACACAGGATTTGATAGTAAACTGGATAGTACACAATTAGATGTACACAACGTAAAAAGTTGCAAAAATAAACTATAATGTTTCAACAAGCTTCATATGGAAAATAAACAACAGGAAATCAAACGTTTCTTGTCTGAGATTTCAATCTTTGAGACTGAATGGGATTTGAGACAATTATCCTATTAGGAGGCAGTAAGAATGGATCACCTGCGTGCATTAGGTCAAGTAAATCCTAGACAGCCCTTGTGGCACCAAAGATCAGTGCGTTTGTCTTGAACGATGGATTCCGGCCACAGTGCGTAATAAAGGGGAAGAAAAGCGATATAAAGTGTTTCTGGGTGCAATGCAGATTGGGGTAATTAAAAATGGCGTAGTCTCGATGTAGCGCGTGAACGTGGGAGTAAAAGGTAAATTAATCTTGCGGGGTGGGTGGAGGTGGGGTGTAGACTTTTTAGGACCCCCGCCTCTTTGCGACGTCGCATTCCACAGATTCCCACACTCCCAGCTCACCTGCCTTTGACTTCACTTCCCTGCACCTTTTCAAGGACATGCACAGAGACGAGTGAGTTTGAGAGAAAACTGACACCAGAACAGCTTATTTGCGCCATCCTGCCAAGTTTATCCTAATTGCAACTGTGTCAGAAAAGCAGCGCGTGAGTATCCAGAAGGTGAGCGTTGTCCGCGATGAAATGGCCACAAGCGGAAGATTAGTGAAGAATTAGCTTATTCCCTGCTGTGAAGAAGCTTTAAAAAGCTTTGTATTTAGACACGCACACTCACGCAAAAAACAAACCACTTTTTTTGTCTCCCAGGATGAATTCAACACTTCTGAGTTCAAGCAGCAGCAGCCCCATCCCTCCTCATGCGCCTCGCGCAGATGTGCTTTCTTTTCTCCTCCCAGCATTTCTCATTCCGCAGTTGAACAAGCGACGAAAAGCTTTTTTTAAATAAAACCTCCACATACCTGAGGAGGACTGTTGTTGCGCTGGCTGAGCTTCCGCTCGGACCTACATGGGAACCAGGAACATCATCTGGAAAGTCCAGTCGCTTACTTCCATGCTTGTGGAAGAACGAAACTCGTGTCCATAGTCGAAAGAAGACAGCCCCTTCCCTGCTTCCACCAGCAGTCCCAGGCAAAGCGAGCGTGCATGACGTCAGTGGGACTCTATGGAGGTGTATGGAGTTATATTTGTGCCAGAAAGTCAAGCGGGCACACTGGTATTTTTAAAACGTTTTACATTTATAATCTACATAATCACAACTGTAGTTTTCTTATAACAATAAAAAATGTTATCTTTGATGTCATTATTACTATAATTACTAGCATTACTGTAGATGTAAAGATCTTGGGGTGCAGGAGCAATATGTAAGACGAATCCTGCAGTGAAATAATCATAATAAAACAGTAAAACGTCTCAGTCATGTTGAAAAGATTACATTGAAACAGCTCTTATTCTCAGCAGGCTGGGGGGCTGTCGGAGGGACGCAGTTACTGTTTGCAGTTTGTGAGGTTGCCAAGTCTGCGCCGAGCTAACGTTGCAGTGCCAAAATTTGTAATTTGACACCAGCAGGCAAAAAAATCCATAGTTGTTCAAATAACTGAAGCCAGTAAACTGGAGTTATTTCTTGTACTCCTAAGAAGCCAAAGCATCCTTTTTGTTTTACTCCAATATCGTGTGAAGCAAGCTAGAGGCTAACATTGAACAAATAATGCTAACAGTGAATTAGAAGCAAATAGTTGGCTCTAGAAATATCTCAAGCTACTTTTTCAATTACCAAAATCTCAATATTACAATTGTGTGCTAAGTGAAGAATGATTAAATTATGGTGTTTTACTTCCTTTAATCAGTTGTTCAAAACCATAATAGCAAGCTAACAGCAACATGGCAAACAATCACACTTCTTCTATTGATGCAGACATATTAGCATAATAAGTGTAGTAAGTGCTCCCTACCATAAAATACCCAAGAGTGCTAACACCAGATTTAACAATATATTTATCTACCATCAACTTACTGTGTATGACCTGTCTTTGCTTGTCATCTAGAATCTTCTGGTGCTCATCCGTAACTGGCAACACCATGAAACTCATGGAATGGCAGTGAGAAAATTGCAGTAACTATATTTGATCACAGGATGTCATTCATGCATATTGCATCTTTAGTTTGTAAATTGTACATATGAGGTTGTTTGTTGTGTGAGGCTATGGATGGGAATGAGTTAGCGCTGGCTTCTTTCCACTCCCTTTGGGCAAAGACGTTTTCCGTTTCTTTAGTATATTTTTCAAACTTTGTTTATTATTTTTAACATTTGCTGTCTTATGTTCAAATAAATGTTTAAATAAATAAAAACACTTGCATCAATCAAAAATTAATTTGGTGATCCTTCAAAATGTTTTTTTAGATCTTCAGAAGACAAAAATATACAAAAAGAATGAGTATACTTGTATATAATCAAAGCCTAAACTGAATCTTCATTCCTAAAGCAGCAAAGTGCACGAAGAATGATCTAAAAATATTAAGTTCCTCATACTAATTCTAAAGAAAACATTGTTTTAAGATGAGATAGTGTAACCTCAAATTGCTACTTGTTTTAAGATGAGATAGTGTAACCTCAAATTGCTACGTGTTAGTTGATTAGTTAAATTCAATGAAAAAAATCAGTCCACCTTATTTTTAATTTCTGCACATAATAGGATATTTTGGCATTAAAATGTAATTGAACATGTGATTTATAAAATAAAATGTTCATTTAGAAGTACATTTAATGCACCTAATTAACTCCTATTATCTACTTCCAACCTTTGAAATTTAAATAATGAATTTTCATTTCTACTGGTAGGGATAACACTGTAGGGAATAAGATTATGACTGTGAGAAATTTCATTATTTGTCAGAAAAAAATGTGATTTAATTAGGCATTACAATGCCTTGCCATACAGTGTCCCAACTTCAACAAGTGAACAGTCAAAGATTTAGTGAGAAGAGCTATACACAGGTTGAACACACGTTTTCCACCTCAGATTAATATTGTGCTCGTGTGTCACTTGCGCTGAACTTTTTTTTCTTTGGCACAAATATAACTCTATATGGATGACTCCTGACTGGCTGTGGTGAAAGTTTGGGGCGTTTCCAGACCTCCACATGCAGTCAAATGAACCAATAACAGAAGAGAATGCAGTTGCCGTGGTTACCAATTTTGTAAACCTACACTACAGTAGTGGACAAGCTGCAAGCTAGCACGTTAGGTGGGTATTTTCTTTCTGCTGAAACCAGTATTCATTGTTGGATTAAAGCCTGCTTAAAACTCGGCATGTTTCCATTTGTTTAACTTAAAGTAGGAATAGGAAAATGATTATTTCTCAGGTATTTTGTAGAATTTAAAACATGTTTTATCTCATATAGCAGTTTACCTATGAGAGCATAATTTTCTTCCAAACAAGAAGCACAAGTTAATACTTCTAAAGAATAACATGTCAAAGTTATGATGTTTTTTTCCTAAACATCCTAGTTTGATGATAGATGTCTTACAAAAATGAGTGGAAGGAGTCTACCAGCTTTCAACACAAGATACAAAGCAGAAGATGCTGGTAAGTAAATAAAACATTTGTGCAAGGTTTTATTAACTTTTCCAACTGAGTTTTTTCACTTTTCCTTTGAGTTTCAAGTAGAAGCTTTAAAGGTCTCTTAGAATGAAAACCACATTTACCTTGTTGTTGAGTTTGGGTGGCTGGGGATGTCAAAAGTGCAATGAATGTACCAGGTGTTTGTGGCATCCATGACCTGCTTCCCTGTGCAAATTAGTAATATTGTAATGGCCATGGAGAAACAGAAGTGGAAGGAGAAGGCTGGATCACTCAGGTCAACGTAAAAATATTTAATTGGTGTAAATAAATGAACAAAGGTTTTGACATTGCTGTCTTCGTTAGAGTTACAGCTTAAATGTTGTAAAAAGTTTATAAACAGGTGTTTGCAGGCTAATTAGACAGAAAACACACTAGTAAGATGCTCAATGGTTATGAAGTTGGGGGTTGGAGAAGGAGGAGGAATCGGTGTCTGTCCGATAAACACAAGTCAGACATGATCCAGTCCGTTCTCATCAGTCTGAAGTAAATGTTAATTCCTCCAAAACAGTGAGCCAATATTTATCTAACAATCCTAAAAGCCAGATTCAGCAATATTTAAACAGTGATAAAAATTTACGATATTTATGTATTATAAAATACATGAAAACGATGTAAACAATAAAATGTACCACCAAATTAGAGGAAACAAGACAACCTTAATTCTTCATTCACCTCTGAAGCTTCAGTGGTGTTCAAAGTGTGACTCCAACAAGCCTCTCTGCGCAAGAGAAGATTAATAAAGTTGCCACGTCTGGGAGGTGGGGAGCTTTTCCTGATTTCTCTAAACCCCAGTGAGGCAGCAGAGCCCTGATTTGTGTAATGTCGCGTCATGGCGTAGGTCAAGTTACCTGTGCTCATGACCGTTTTATGCCCAGAGATTCTGGTTTTTAATGTTCTTTTTGTTTGGCCCACACATGTCAAACCAAATGGGCATTTCAGCATGTAAATCACGTGTGTTGCTGCAGTTAATGGGTGACTTTATGGAATAGTTTTACCCGTGTGTGGATGTGTAAAGAATTTGGCATCTGATGCTTTGGAACATTGAGCACAGTGACCAAAGCGGCAAAAGCCGATGAGTAGATGGTAACTAGGTGTTGACCAGCGGTGGTTGTTTTGCATCAGAGTGAACCAATCTATCTTTCGGAGAACACGCGCGTCTAAATGTGATCAGCGGAGGATTCGAACGGATGGATTTTAAGATTGGATCACTTTGCAGCACCCACAGATGTTTCAGAGAACGACTGATTTTATCTTCCTGCTAATGATGAATATTTGTTGGAGAACACGTGGATCCTATCTTGGTTATTTTTTGGGGTTAGTAATAATATGTTGCGCTTTTTTGTAAACTCTTGAGGTTACTGAGAGGCTTTATCCTCTTTGTTTGAATCTTTCAAGACATCTCAGCAGCTCTGAATTCAACGTCAGAGCTACAATTCTGCCGCTCTCTGAGAAATTTTCCAGTTGGAATGTTGCGGATGAGGTAGCGAGGATGGTTGCTGTCCGCTCTCGATAAAGTGTTCCTGCTGAGGGGTTTGCGATACATTGTGGTTTCAATTTTCCCGTCCATACCTTTGTATAAAGTAAGGTCGCAAAAATGTATGGAGTTCAAGTCGTGTTCAATATTAAATAAAAAATCTTTTGTTGTGTAATTGATGAATTTCTGAAAATTAAATAATTTTTTTTCTTCTCTCCAGATCATCATAATTTCATCTAAGTATCTTTTCCAGCATATGATGTTAGAGAACAATTTGTTATAAATGGGGTTGAGGATAAATTGTTCTTCCCACAAACCCTACCAGGCTGGTCCTCTGTTTAATTGTGCACAGAGAACTAGTCTGGTTACTCACAGGCAGAGAGGCACATGAGGGGTAGGACTAGCCAACTCAAAATTACCTATCAGAAAAAAGCCGGAAATGCACGACGCTGTAGTTTTTTTCAGTCTTCGTTATTTATGAGAAACTGGGCATCACGCTGTTGTTTTTTAGCTGTAGTCAAAAATGGTATCTGGCGATGACTCAAACATCTTTCTTTAGAAGAAAGGCTTTTAGCACTTCTATTTGTGGTTTTAAAGACATGTTCAAGTAAATTAGAACAGAGGAAAGAGCTGCAGCAAACTCAGCTTCAGATGCCATCTTCATTGTTTATGGGAAACTCAGCATTGCGGTGTGTGTGTGTGTGTGTGTGTGTGTGTGTGTGTGTGTGTGTGTGTGTGTGTGTGTGTGTGTGTGTGTGTGTGTGTGTGTGTGTGTGTGTGTGACATATGCTGCTCAGTGCTGATTGGCTCGGTTAGAATTCTCAGGGGTAATTTCAATAAAAAAAGTGCCCAGACCCATGGGCTGGCTGGTTATAGTTAACCATATGGGTTCTGAAAAAGGGGGTCTAACACATCATTAGCATAGACACCTTCTTAATTTTGCATGTCCTAGCGGACATCATGCTGGTGCCAGTAATGCTAACTTTAAATCAACTCTGGCCCTGAGCTACTGCTAACACTAGCCCAAACTACTGCTAATGCTAGCTCAAGCTACTACGAACTCTAGCTCAAGCTACTACTAACACTAGCCCAAGCTACTGCTAACACTAAAGCTACTGCTAATGCTAGCTCAAGCTACTACTAACACTAGCTTAAGCAACTGCTAACGCTAGTTCAAGTTACTACTATCCCTAGCTCAAGCTACTGCTAACCAGTGACCAGGAATACTAGTTTTTCCATTTTAGGTCTTATTTATGGGGTTATATTTGACCCTTTATCATGGCTCCTGGGCCATTTTGGCCTCCCACACAATTGCATTTACTAAAGAGGTTCAAGTAATGGTTTCCTATTACAAAAAAAAAAAAAAACTTGTTCTAGGACACCTTTAAAAGCTGCTTATGATCTCAAGGTTTTTGACACAAGATTTCTTCACTTTGGGGCATAGATGGAGCGGAAAAAGTATGTGTAATTATGTTAAATTGCTCTCTGCCAGCCATTTGTTTGAATTGTGTGAATAATCCATTAGTTCTCAGCAGGTGCTGTCTTCTCCCTCTTTTTTCCCCCACTATTATTTTTCTTAGCTGAAGTCAGCATAAAGATTTGAATCCAGACATTATAAGTCATGAGCTTTTCAACAATCCTAATTCAGCCATATCATTTGCTTTCATCCATGCAGAAAGACTGACGCTGAGAATGAAAAATGGTCTTGGCAGCTCCAGGTACAAACCGGCTGAATATGAAAGACTGCAAGCCATTGTTGAGGCCAAGCGCATGGAGTTGGATCTAATTGGACAAAAGGTACATTTTGTTATCAGGATTGTTCATGCGGTAAAAGAGATCAATGATTCCAACAATGATGCAGTGTGAAATTAATTCCTGATAGATTTGATGGTATTTTGTAGAAAATAAAGATTACTTCTGACTGAGGCAACATCAGATCTTAGTTTGATGGGAAATTATAACACCTCCATTAGGTAAATGTTGTAATTTCTCCTTTTATTTTCTCTATTTTTTTAATCAAACACTGCAAAAGGATTTCATTCAGCTCATAAAAGGTATTACTTTGCATCTATAACATTTTTAACAGCATAAAGGAAACAGTAATATACTGCCACACAGTGACACAGTTCTGTGAATAATAATTTAGTTGCCTGCACTTTTAAAGGCCGCTGTTTGAAGCTGTTGTGTAACTCTGAGCTGAGTGCAAGGGGCAATTAAGCTTTTAGCTGTATGTTGTTTTAGCTGAACTGTGTCAGGAGCCTTTCAGCTTCATTGCAGTTGACTGTGGCTCCTGCATACCTCAGATAAGACAAGCTATATGTTCTCATTCAGTGGTCCGTTGAAAAGGAAGGCCTTTTGGAGCGTCTCTCTTTGGTGCTGATGGAAGGTAATGAAATGATCTTGAGTAGTCTCCAGCTCGGATCCATTTGCTGCAGTTAACAAAAGAATTGGCAGCATTTGAAGATGCTAAATCCATGGCAGAACTTCCAATATAGTCAATTATTAGGCCATATGTGCATGTGTAAGAACATCTGAGGGCTCTAACATATTAAATATGGTGTTAGAGAGCTTTTCCGTTTTAGAAAAATACATAACTGGCAGAAAAAGGGACTTTTTTCCTTTTAAGCAAGCTCCTTTTTCTGTTGAAACAGTTGATGGCCATCAGGTTTGTCAATGAGAGAATGCAAGATCACAGAATAAAGCCTGTGTTTTCAGACAAAGTCAACCTTGCAGTGTTTTCTCCAACAAGGAAGCCTTGGTCCTGAGCTCAGATGACGATTGAGAGGGAGAACAAGAAGAACAAAGCGGGGAGGGTTAATGTCCGGCTGATGTTTTGGTCTTTCAGACAAAAATGGGAAAAGTTTGTATGCAAATCTGAAAGTTTTTCATAAATCAACATAAGCATGAATATTGAAAATTGCAAATATTAAAAATGCAATATGTGGAAAAACTACAGAGCTTAAAAGTAAGTCACTTCCTGCTTACGACCAACATGTTAGCATGCTAGTAGGCGGTTGTAGTGATGAATACGTTGATTTCCAGCTGTTTCTAGTGAGGGTTGGATGAGAACAGAGGTATCTTTTGAGTCTTTGTCACTGTGGTTCTGCACAAAGTCAGTCCACCAAGTATCCAGAGATCAAAGCTGCTCTTTTCAGCTCTTAAATTTGATTTTCCAAAACCTGCAGCTCTCTAACCTCTGCAGTGCAGCCTTATCTCTTCAGAGAATTGATCCCCAGTGTGCAACTACAGCGAGTACATAGGCACTGTGTTTCCTAAGCCACCTGCTGCTTTGTTTCTGATTTATTCTTCACACAATTTTTTCTGAGACCTCTAGCTCTTTGTCCAGAAGTTTGTGAATTTTGATATCCCTTTGTGATGAAAACATGTACTAAATAAACTCACATTCTGTTAAAACTCTGCTACATAAAAAATAACATATTTCTCCAGCTTTTGAAACCCTTTAAATCATATTTTCTAACAATCAATGCTTTTGAGTTGCAAGATTTCCAGATGTCAGGAAAGAAGACTCCAAATCCTGTTATTTTCTGCCCCTTTTACCTCCTGAAACAGGAGCACCAGAGCTTTTTTCCCCATAGAGGCATTTGTTTATACTGCTAATTTGTTGAAAAAAAAAATAACGAGTTAACCCTGAGGTTAAATGTCTAAATGTAAAAGGAGATTTATAGATACTTTAGTCACTTCCTGACACATAAATAATCATCCAAACCGGTTTAGATTCCCTCCTCCACGTAAACAGATTGTACTCATGTATAACTTGTTTGCATGTGACATTTTCTTCTGTACAATTATCTGAATCGCTGGTCTGTTTCTACAAAAACGTAATACAACATGGCGAACTGTTGCATCCAGAGCTCATTGAAGGAGGGCTGTGATGAAAAATGAAAACAAATTAGACTAGATTAGAACTGTTACCTCCCTCTTCCTCTCCTAATAGCACACCTCATGCGTATCGTGCACGTGTCTGCTTGATTATTTCCACTGTTTATTTGGCTGTTTCAGCTGAATCACCTCCATTTGTCAGACTTGCACAAACACAGTTATGCTAATCAAGACTGTCGCAAACAGTTCTGGAAAAATGTTGTTTATGTGTACCAAAGCATAAAAAAGCTACTTGTTTCACATCTCATCAGTTGTACATTTTACAGTTATTGCTGTACAGAAACATAAATGTAATGTGGAGCTCAGATGCCCATCTGAAAAGCAGGTAGATCCCCTTTCAGCACAGATTTTAGTTTCAGGGAAACGGTTTATTTTTGCTCTGTATTAAACCTTGTCTTGTAGGTTCAGAAGTCTCGCTGCGCAGCCAAGGCAACGAAGGAGAGCTCCTTATTACAGCAGCACAGACAGGTGTGGAGCAAAGAACGCACCAGGCTGCAAAAGGCTGAGTAAGAACCCCCTATTACTGGCTGTCTTTATCTACTGCAGTTATCTGAATCAACTTATACACAAAGCAACCATTCCATTTAATCTCTTTAGCACCCTGACAGAAGTGTCTACTGAAATAATGGGTGTAAAAGATGAACGTGCATTAAGGGAGGGGGAAAAAATCAAAAGGGGAGATTTAAGTGGGTGTTGTCACTGTGAGTGGAGTTGGTAAACTGAGAAAAAAAAAACATGGAGGCTATGCCTCTGTGAGGACTCAGAGTGTTCCTCTGTGCGTTGAGGCAGACGAGTGGGACCAAGGCCCTGGCACTGTCATGCCTTGTGAAGTGAGAAGGGCAGACCCAGCTCTGGGGTGCCGTTTGTTTGGCTGTGTAATGACTGTGTCTGAGCCACCCAAGGTTAATGATGTACACAGCCATGAGCTGCAGTAATGAGCCCAGTCCTAAAGATGTGCCGCTGCTTGCATCTCTCCACACAGACATCTAGTTAGAATACCCCCAAACTCTAAAGCAGCATAGGAAGACTAACAAGTCCGTCACTATGGTTACTGACATATTTTAGCATTACTGACAACCATTTGGACTGGTTGATGGAAAGTCAACAAGCTTCCACTGCAGGTCTTTTTAGGATGATTCTGCACAAATCAGACGAGATGTCCTGGTGGTTGCAACTCAGCTCTGTACTCCTTCACATACAATAGGCATCCTTTAGGGACGGATTGATATTTATTCGCATAGATAATGAATTACGGTAAATAAAATCATGCAGGTATGTATTATAATATAAAATACATTAAATATAAAGGGTAGCACAAAAAAGTGTAAAACACTTGTTTCCATTGTGGCCCTTAAAACAGTTATACACATGATACAAAACATCAGTGCCTAAGAATGACAGCTTTAGAGTTAAGAGGCTAAAAACCACTGTTGAAGGGTTAAATAGGAACTAGAAATAAACAAAGGCATCATTCTCTCTTTGAGCCAGCTTTTGGAATAAAATAGTTTGACCCTTTCTTGAAAACCAACTTCGATTGGCAGACGTCGATTTCCTTTGGTAGTTCGTTGAAAGGTTTGGCTGTGGTCAAGGTAAATGTAGTCGCACCGAAGAAACAAACATGAGGGATGATCAAGGATCTGCTACTGGACCTTGTGTTGTGATATGACTGGAGGACATTAGGAATGACAAAAATTGTCCAATGTTTTTGAAATTGCACCAAGTACACAGATCAAAAGTGTGCAGCTACGACAGTTGATTGTCTGGGGCACTGAGTGCTGTCTGTGAAGGAAAAAGAAACAAAGAAGAACAAAACCAGGGTTGATGGTTGTCTGGGACAAGGGCTAGGAAGAGAAATCTGGGTTATCATCTGGGTTGTTTGCAACAAAACACAAAGGAGCTACAAAAGTTTGTAATATTTAGTTTTCTGGCCATTTAGCAATCAGCGCCTGTTCCTCATCATGAGAAATATTCTTTGTTCACTTCTCCTGTTCAATCCCTCGCTTTGGTTAAGTGCGTACTCCATTTGCTTTCAAACTGCCACTGAAATGCACCAGGGTGCACTTGCAATTGAACCAGACTTATCTGGTTTGGTACAAAGTTTGGGCAATCATTGTATCCAATGATTGTTTTCTAAGTTTTAATAAAACCCATCTAATGACTTTTTTAAGGCATCATAAACAAATCTTTCATTGTCAAGCGAGTCGCAGATAAAAAATAACCGGTAAAGATGATTTGCAGGTCTGTGGCCATCCAGTGTGGCCAACCCACAGACATCTCAGTGGTAAATGGTAAATGTCTTGTATTTGTGTGCCATCCAGTCATTCACTCATGCACACACACATTCACACGCTGGTGGTGATGAGCTACAATTTTCTCACAGCTGCTATTGGGTGCACTGATGAAAGAAAGGCTGCCGAACACTGGCGCCACACGCCCCTCTGTCCAACACCATCAGGCCAGGTGGGTTAAGTCTTTTGCCCAAGGAGACAACCTGAACCCGCAACCCTCGGGTTACGCGATGGGTACCTAACTCCTCTGCGGCTTTCATCCCTGTTCTTGAGTGCTGTCACGACCAAATTCAGCCTCCGACAGTCTTCAAGCAGTGTCAGAAAATCTACAAGTCCGGTCTATAATCAAATGCTAACGTTAACGTTAGCTAGTGTTTTTTCCCCTTTCATTGCTGCTGTCTACCTGTCGGTTATTAACGTATACTTTCCGACAATGTATGCTCGTGACGTTGGCACGTCCTTCTAGCAAGACAGCATGCAGTTTGACTCACTGAAATTTTGGACCATGTGGTGTGCCAGTCCTCTAGAGCTCGCATAGGGTGACATGTCCTTTGCATCCTTTGCAACGGCCAGAGAAAACACAGTGAGTGTCTGGCTTTGGCCAATACCACAACAAAAGTAAGCCTGGAAAATGGGCTGAGTTATAGCCCTTGCTGTGTTTTCTGAGGGCAGCTGACTGTAGTGGCCATCTTTATCTGACTTGGTTTGACACCAATAATCACTGTTGGCTCGCAGGCGAAGATGTGTTGGGAAAGACTCGGCTATATCAAAATTTATCTCAGTATATGTAAAACTGACAGTTGTGTTCTTTTCTTTTGCTAATGCTGAATAGCAGTGGAAGCCATCTTGAAATGGATTCATTTAATGAGCAGTTGTTCAAGAGATGCAGCGTTTACATTTTGGTTTGTCTGGGATGAACAAAGCATATGGTTCATATTTCATAATCCTTGTTGCCGTTTTAAGAATACTTAATTGAACCCCTTTTACTTTTTTAATCTCCTTTTCCTATGAGACAGGAAGCAAGCTAAAGATGGGCTCCACCATTTTCTAGATCAGATCAGGCCTATCGATGTAACAGACACTGCTATCTTTTCACTTCAAGAATACGGTAAACTGGACCAACTTTACCAAAAAAACATCATGTCACTTTAGTCCATGCTGTTTTTATTTCCTGATGTGTTTTTGGTGTTTAGTGCTGTTCCTGGAGAGGGAACGAGAAGCATTCAGGAAAGACACAGTTGATCCTATTTATCAGCTTAGAGATGACCTCCGCTCAAGACTGGGGAAGATGCAACATCAGCAGCTTCATAAATATCCATCAAACTGGGAACCAGTAAAAGAACAGGTATTTGTTCCTTACAAAACCTAAACTTGTAGCCGGTGACTTTAATAAAAACTGGAGATTTAGAGGATAACAACTAACCGATTAGCAACATTTTGTATAAATGTCTTAGAAAAAATTTGTTGTGCGGCAGAGAAAAAGTTAATTTTAGTCAAAAACATCCAGTTGCATTTTGGATCCATCCAACCCGCTTGCCCATGTGGTCAATGGGCAATCAGGCAGGGTAGACCCTGGACAGAGTTCCAGTCCATCGCAGGTCAACACAGAGACACACAGGACAAACAATCACGCACACACACACACACACACCTGAGGACAATTTAGACAGACCAATCAACCTAACAGTCATGTTTTTGGGCTGTGGGAGGATGCCGGAGTTCCCGGAGAGAACCCACGCATGCACTGGGAGAACATGCAAACTCCATGCAGAAAGACCTCAGGCTGGCAAGCGAACCCAGGACCTTCTTGCTGCAAGGCAACAGCTCTAACCACTGCGCAACTGTGCAGCCCCATTTTGGATCTTATTTGTTTTTAATTATATTTTAATCCAGCCACTACACTAGAGTCATTTGCAAGTAGAAAATAATCCTGCACAACAAACTCCCCACAGGAAAATCATTAACCATCACATTCTTGTGTGTATTTTCTCATAAACCCCTCAAAGCTTTCTGCAGACCTTAAAGCTGAAGGAATTAGCCAAGGCCTTTAAAAATAGAAGATCCCTCTTGGGCTACACCATACCATACCATACCATACGTTACCATACCACTTTATTTTTACAGCACATTTAAAACACAGCCTGAGAACTGACCAAAGTGCTGCACAGGCAGGTTCAAAAATTAGACAGAAAAAACAATGACAGTAAAACTATAAATGCAAAATGGTAAAATCAAATAAAATAAGTAAAACCAATAAGAACAACAACCCCCCAAAAAAAACAATAACAACAATATACAAGCCACTGGTTAAAGGCCAAGCCTTAGAAGTAGGCCTTTAAACGAGATTCAAAAACAGCCAGAGAGGATGCCTGCCTGACTGTAATGGGAAGTGAATTTCAGAGCAAGGGGGCAGCACAGATATACGCTCATTCACCCCGTGATTTGTAGGACATCCAGGGAATGCAAAGTAGCAGGAGATCAGCTGACCTCAATGTATGCGTGGGTACATGGGGGTGAGCAGGTCGGACAGATTTGAAGGTGCTAAGCCATATAAGGCTTTAAAGGGACAATTTGCCATGTTTTCATATTTTTGAATCATTTTCTTGAGCCAGTATGTACTAAAATGACCCTTTACAGTTTTAATGAAAGGCCACCCAGCCCCTATCGCCCCCTGTGGCCGGAATATTGCAACATCACAGATGCCAGTCCGGTCATCTGGGACTTAAAAAATTGAGCTGACCTACCTGACGCTGCTGTCTGGCTTCAGCACCTTTCCTGCATGTTTTAGATCATGAACACAGCTGATTTGATTAATTTAGTGATGAATCACTCCTCTAGACACTTAGGAACGCTGGGAGACATTTCAGCTGTTAGATTAAGGTGTTAAAAAGACAAACGCACAGCGAGGAGATAGTTTCACTTCGACAAACAGACACTAGGGAGTGCTAAAAGCAAGAAAAACGGCTTAGTATCCCTTTAAACACAAATGTCAATAACAAACTGTATCCGGAAGGTAATGGGGAGCCAATAGAGATGTGTCAAGACCGGGGTGATGTGGCTACGTTGATTTGTGTCTGTCAAAAACCTAGCAGCAGCAGCAACATTCTGGACAACCTGCAGCCAGTTCAGAGCTAAAAAGGAGTACCAACAAGAAGTGTGTTTGCATAATCCAAGCGAGAGGTGATAAAAGCATGGATGACTGATACCAAGTGCCTCTGCTTCAGAATTGGTCGTAGACAAGTTAGACAACGTAACCAATAAAAACAATACCTCACCACTGAGTTTATCTGAGGGGCCACTGAGAGGTCAACATTTAATTTTACCCTGAGACTAGAAACACACTGCTTAGGGTATAGAGTAGAAAAGTCAAAAGCAGAAAGCGAGCCTGAAAGATTGTGGGGGTCAAAAACAATAGACTCAGTTTTTAACTCATTTAATTCAAGGAATTTGGCAGCCAGCCAGCCCTGTACGTCAGCCAAGCATGCTGACGTTCGGGAGCCCACACATTTCTTATAAAGTGCCTCATAAATTTGGCAATCGTCTGCATACAGTGCTCAGCAAAAATTAGTGCACCCCCTTTAAAAAGTATGAATTTAACCAGTAGCTCAATCAAATCAAATCAAAATCAAATCAAATTTTATTTCTAAAGCGCTTTTCAAACAAAGTGTGATTCAAAGTGCTTTACAAAATTACCCCAGATTCCCATAACAGGTTAAAAACATTAACAAACATATGCAAGCACACGAGCACACACACACACAGACTCACACACACACACACACACAAGTAAAAATTATATTAGGCTGAGTCCAGATGAGCCAAGTATGGTAACGCAAGGAAACGCCATCAGAGGAGCCATCTGCCCCGGCAGCATCAGGTCTTCCACACTAAGTCAGGGCGCTCAGTGGAGGGGGAGCATAGACCCCCACCTATAGAGCGCCCAGGAAGCCACAGTCGACCACCGCTCCCGGGGCAGAGGGCCCCTACAGAGGAAACACCGGATTAAAATGAGTAAAAATATAATAAAAGAGCTAATATAAGGGACAAAAGTTAGAAAATAAGTAATAAATAAAATCATATAGACAGTAAAATAATAATATTAAATAATGAAAACAATGCTAAAATATAATCATATAAAACATGCAAAGCAAGTAATAAAATATAATCATGTAAAACGAGACATAAAACTGTAGTAAATATTTAGATAAAAGCTAACCTAAAAAGATGGGTCTTAAGCCTGGACTTCAAAACATGAATGTTCTCTGCGGCCCTGAGGTCCTCTGGCAGCTCGTTCCAGAGGCGAGGGCCATAACACTGGAAGGACGCCTCGCCGTGAGTGTGTGTCCTAACTTTAGGGATGACCAGGAGACGCCTGCCAGAGGAGCGCAGAGGCCGTGAGGGTTCATATGGTAAAAACAGTTCTGAAAGATAAGAAGGCCCAAGACCGTTAAGACACTTAAAAACCATTAGAAGAACCTTAAAATGGATCCTGAAACATACGGGGAGCCAATGCAATGATTCTAAAACTGGTGTAATGTGCTCCCGCCTCCTGGTCTTCATCAGGACACGTGCTGCCGAATTTTGTAGAATTTGTAAGCCTGAGATGCTCTTTTTGGGAAGACCAGAAAGCAGGGCATTGCAGTAATCTATCCTACTGGTGATAAAAGCATGCATCAACGTCTCCGTATTGGCCCGAGAGAGAATGGGGCGGACTCTGGCGATGTTCTTTAGATGATAAAAACCTATTTTTGTGATATTTTTAATGTGTGGGATAAAAGTCAGCTCAGAGTCAAAAATCACACCCAATGAAGTAAAGAACAACTTCCAGAAGTTTCACAAGGCTGGGTTTTATTGAACACTGTTTAACTCCATAACATGAAATTAAGGATAATAATATAACTTAACATTTTCAGTTTTACTAAAATTGGCTGAAGCAAATGAATACAGCCCACAACAAAAACTACTACATCTAGTATTTTATGACCACAGTGATCTTGAAGGACAGCATCAAGTCTTCTAGGCATGGAATAAACAAGTTGGCGACATATTGCAACATCTATCTATTTCCATTCTTCAAGAATAACCTCTTTTAGAGCCTGGATGCTGGATGGAGAGTGATGCTCTACTTGCTGCTTTAGACATGCAGGATACCAGCCCTCAAGGACCAGGGTTCCCCACTCTTGCTAGACCAAAATAGTCCAAAACAATAATAAAATCCCTCACCAGAGGTTTTATAGGACAGCAGATGTGGATATAAACCCTTCGCCTGCCTGCTCAACCGTTTGGTAGAGCATGTCTAAAGTCCCAACATTTCATTGAAGCATTTTATGAACTTAGCAAGAAAAAAGATGGTAAAACACAAAAATTCTACAGAATATGGAGATGTTTGAGGAAAAGGCATAACATTATTACCCTGCAATGTCATGGTCTGCGTCTTCCCTCATGTGTTCTCCTTCCTCTAGGTTCCCATTTTGGGTCTCATAAGCGCCCTCATGTGTCTTCTTCTTCATGTTTATTGGCAGGTGGCATCTAACTTCTAGGTGCATTTCCGCCACCTACTCTGCTGGAGTGTGAGTCAGAGTAAGAGCGTTAAAAAAAAAAAAAAAAAAAAACTAAATTCTATTCAACAAACCACTGTGTTTTAGATACTCAATAACCAACTTATATTTCCTTTCTTCACCATTTAACAAATTATTTACATTTATCACTCCACCTCCTATGTTTTTAATTTCTCCCTGAGTTGTCCTCTACTTTCCTCATATTTGCCCTCATGTGTCCTTTGTCTGCGTCTCATTTGTGTGTCTTCTCTTGTAGCTCCAGCCTTTTTGTCTCCAGCTCTCTCTCTCTCTCTCTCTCTCTCTCTCTCTCTCTCTCTCTCTCTCTCTCTCTCTCTCTCTCTCTCTCTCTCTCTCTCTCTCTCTCTCTCTCTCTCTCTCTCTCTCTGTGTGTGTGTGTGTGTGTGTGTGTGTGTGTGTGTGTGTGTGTGTGTGTGTGTGTGTGTGTGTGTGTGTGTGTGTGTGTGTGTGTGTGTGTGTGTGTGTGTGTGTCCTTCCCAGTCAGGTCTGGTGTCCTGCTCTGCTCCTCTCCTCATTAGTGCTTTCACCTGTGCCAGTTTCCCACACACCTGCTCCTCGTCTCCTATCACTCCAGCCCCAGGGTATAAAGCCTCTCCTTGTCTCATTGTTCTTGTCGGTCCATTGTTGCTGTCAGTGTGACTTATTCTGTCAGTCCTGCTCTTTCCTTTTGTGTTTTTGGATCTCCTGATCATCCCCTGCATTTTTGGACTTTGGCTTCCTGCCCCTTTTGGTTTTTATGTTCGTTTTGGGTTCATCCTAAAATAAAAGGATTTTTCTTTACCTACTCCTGCCTCGTGTCATCCTGGGTATCTGCATTTTGGGTCCGAACCATCCTCCAAACAGTCCTTTCAACGTGACATGAAATTATATTACCTTAATATTACTACCATTAGTATATTATTAATATTATTAATTTACATTAAATTAAAGCCCTAATAGCCTCAAATCAAAAAATATAAATGTATATTGTCTTCATCGCTTTTGTCTTGGGGAGGAACTTAAAGGGTTAAAATCCCCCAGAATAAAGCCCTGGACATACCTTGGGAGTAAATCAGCTTAAAGGTCAGAAAGTGCATTTATAAAGACATTGTTGTATCTAGGTGGCCTGTAGCAGAGAATGACAAGGATGGGAGGAGAGATCAAATACTGAGACCTCAGCCCTGGTCAGGGCCAGCGGCCTAACAAGGGGTTTAAGGGAGATGCTGGACAGTAAGCCGCCCCCCCAATGGCCAGAGAGCCAGGGCTCAGTTACAATGTCGAAATCAGGAGGACAAAGTTCAACCCCAGAAGCCGACTCACCCGTAACACAGTCTCCATGATTTAACTTTATGCACGCATTCTCTCCTTTTTCCTACCTTTTTTGTTTCAACACTTTTTCTTAAAAGGAGACATTGCTATGTAATAATGCTGCCATGTTTGAATGTTATTAAGGAAAACTAAAAAGTTTGAGGCGTCATAGAAGTGAGTGCTGTTTTACAAAAGGTAATAAGCAGGCGCAGAAAGTGAAGCTTACTTCATTTTCTGAGTATTCTATGGAGTCTTAATGGTAACTTAGAAGCTTAAGTGTAAGAAATGCAATGTCTAGTTAAGTATAATAGACAAAGATAGGAGAAACCTTGCATCCTTTCTTTTGGGATGCACCCATTATGCTGTTTATGTAGGTAATAGATGCATATACTGGTAACACTAAATCACTTTTGCATTGGTAGTTATTGTTGCACCTATAAAACATCACACATAATATTTTTGAAGGAATTTTTTTTCATGCATAACCCCTTCTTTGGTTTCTAGCTAATCACATTGCTACTGTCACAGTGACGAGGGTCTGGTGTAACGTTTCAGGATGTAGTCTGCAGGCTGAGTGGATTAAACTAAAGTTAACAGAAGCATATTGCTACAAAGTGGTGGATCTAAAGTATTGCCACAAATAATGAGGAATTTGATGCATATCAAATAGTTTATTGCGGATCGATACGTTAGAAATGTTGAAACGGCTTGGTTTTCGTTCTTAAATGTAACCAATTAGTGAAATATATTGGTCATAAATATCTACATGACTACTTCACTGACATTTTGTATAAAAAAAGTTTTGACTTGTACTAAACAAAATCCATAAATGCTTCAGTTTGATCCTGGTAATCTTAATTGTCCATTTTCTTGCACCTAAGTGTGTAAAAGAGCTGTTTCTGATAATTTGCCATCATTGAATCATCAGTCTTTAACAATCATGATGATGATATTAAAATCTTATGTATGAATGTGTTAAAGCTGGAAGTGTTACATCAAAGCTTCTTATTGGACAAATAACCTCATGATCAAGGCTGAACACTTAGTTCACGTTTCCATGTATTTTGTCAAATCTAATTTTTTGTGAAGCTTGAAAATCTTTGTTGGTTTTTGTTCCTTAAACCAGGTAAATTTTGTGAAAGATCAGCAAGAATACACTGTTGCAAAGCTTAAAGCAGAGTACAAGGCTCTGGAGGAAGAGATGGAGGACCTCGGCTTGGAGGTAGGTTTGTCTTTGTCTGTTATGGATCATATAAATTCAGTTTTACCTTCATTAGATCACTGCTTCCTGTGCTGCTTTTAAGGACCGGTGTTATTGATCTTGATAAATAATGCAGTGTGTCACAAATGCAAATGAAGGGAAATTAATGTAGAGGATTGGGCAACCACCGGCTGAGTTAATTCTCTATAAATCAATTTTTTTTCTTTGATTAATAGTTCACTTTTCTTTACAAATAGAATTTTTTTTTCAACGAGTTCTTCGTTGAAAATAATTTTAGAGGAATCTTTCCACTGGCACATCAAAAAGTTACAAACTTGTATTTATTTTTATTAGTCTCCTAAAAAAGCAACATTTTTTGTAGCCAATTATCTCAGTTTTACCAGAATTGCCACATTTCACACACAAATAATCATCTTAAAGAAGTAGCAGAATAACTTTGTGCTTTTAGAAATCCCTTAATAGTGCTTTGGATAGTTTGGTGGGTTCAGAAAGTGTTCCAAAAGAGGTTTTGGATGCAAACAGCCCTGACCCAGAGTTGAAGGACTCCCTGATCCAGACCTTCCAGTCCATCTCAGAGAGGTACCAGAGCAGACTGCAGAGTCTGCAGGAGAAACTTCAGCAGACTGACAGGTATGTCTGAACACCGTTGAAGTTTATTATTGTGTTGAACTTTAGGGCATTTCCATTTACGCATTGTGCATAGATCAAGTAAAACACTGGTTTAACTGAAGGTAAAGAGTATTCATACAGCTACACTCACTTTACTCTAAAGCAAAAAGATGATCGGGGTGAGGATTTCGTACCACAAGTTTGATTCTATAAAGTTACTTTATAGTATTTTTCATGTGGCATTTTTTTAGGACTGTTATTGTATTGTAATTTACATCAGAGTGCCCTTTGAAAAGGTAGCACGGTGCAATAAAGAAAGAAGCACCAAGACAAGGTGTTGTTTATTTCTTATTGGTTTTATTTTTCCTGAGTTTATTTTTTGTGTTGAATTAATTTGAAAGGTTCTGTGGCTGGAGTGCAGACGACCACAAACGCTTCCAGTTCATCGTGTCCTTGTACACTCATGATGTGCCCAAACACAGAGAACTCAAAATGGACATGCTGTCGAGACTGTTCCCTCAGAGGACCAACCTGGAGCTGGTTAGTAAAGGAAATAAAAGGTCCAGCCACATCTTAAGGGGACACATAAAGCAAAACCCACCATTTGCATCCTTTGGTGGAGCTACGTGGGTCTCTACTGCCTCTAAAAACACTCCAAACGTGAAAAAAATCATCCTAATGTTTTCTTGTAAGTGTATGGTTTTAGGATTTATGTGCCTAAAATGAGCCATTTCAAAAAGTCCCCTTTTGTGATGTCACAAATAGGGAAATTAAAATAGAACCACCTCTCGCGTCCAAGAGAGAGCTGCTGCTGGAGAAGCAGGGGGTCTACTCTGATTTCGGAGCTTCTCATCTTATAGCAGTTTAAGTAGGATGGGGTGGGTGTGGCCAGCTCCAGTTTGTTTTCCTTCACTGAAAAACATTTTTACTTATTTCTGAAAATTATCAGTCACTCTGAGTTTTAGATGCAGACTGATAGTCTCCTTCACCTACCTCCTGCATTAGCTTATGATAGAAAATTTATGATGAAATGCCAGAATTTGAAAAGCCTGACAGATCTATGTCACACTTTCACTTTACATTCTTGAACTCACCCAGCACCCAGGAAACAAAGGAGGTCGTCTTGTAGTAGAAGCTAACTGTTAGCATTAGCAACTCCGCAACACAGCAGAACTCCTCCAGGCTTGTGATATTTGTGGAGATAAAACATCAGTGTTGCAAAGCAAACAGAGTCAGTTGTAGAGTCACGTTGCTGTTAGACAATTTGAGGCGAGATTTCCAAATATCAGGAAATCAGACTCCCAATCCTGTTGTCTGAAGCTACTTTCTCCACTGGCTGTATTCTCCATCCCCAAACAGGCGCACCAGAGCTTTTTTTACATGGAGTACCACTTACAAGGTATTTATTCCTACAGTAGACCACTGCAAATAAATAAAAAATAAGAGTGAAGGGCCTCTTTAAAATGACAAAGCCCTGAAATGGCTCATTCTGGAAGGTACTGAAACTGTCAAGAATAAAACTGCTGAAATTGCTTTATGTTAGAGGAATTTTGTGCAAAACAATTGATAAGCATGTTTTGTTTCAACTATAGAATTATTATAGCTTAAGAAAGAAAGTCCTAATATGTCCCCTTTAATAGTAACTGCTGCAGCTGCTGCTCAAGTGGTGTAGCATAGTGCATGAATGTGCATGCACTAGTCGTAGAGAACTTTGTAGAAATGCATTATTGCATCAACATGTACATAAAAGGGACTTCGTTTTATTAGAGTGGAAGGAAGACTAAATGAGAAGTAGATTGACAGAAAATTATACACATTCTTTACCAAATGTATGAATTAATGCATTTGAATTTTGCCATTTAAAGTTTAGATTTTGGTGCTTGGCCCACCTCTTTCTTGTCAGGAGTCCTGAGTCCAAGACTCCCTAATCAATGTAGCTCCCCGTAACAAGCATGCAGAATATCCAGGACAATGATCTGCTCAGCACACTTCAGGATGTGCCATGTCACACTGTGGACAATTTGCTCTAGCCACCAGCTTGCATCACCATGACAACCGCCAGCCCCCCTCTCTCCTCCCTCTCCTGTGCCCAGAGACCTGTCGTCATATCAGTTCCAGCTGGGTGCTGCATTTGGAGCTGTGATCGTTCAGCCTCAGGGGCGTTGCGAGGTGGAGACGCGTCTTTCTTAGCACTCTTGCTTTTTTCTAAAACAGGGGAGTTGATGGAGTTCTGTCTCCATTTGATTCAGCTGTTCTTCATCATTGAAATAGCTTCATAATCAGCCAAATCTTTTGGGTTTTCTGAAATCCCTCTGATTAAGTGCATAAATGTTGCTCGGATGTAAGTGTTTAGGGCAAAAAAAAAGTATTTAAATGGCAGTTTTTGGCATTTTTCATCTGAAGTCTGCAAAGTGGAAGAGGATGAAATGATCAATGTCAAAAAAAAGTCAAAGGATCAGTTGAACTGAGCTTTTATGCACATAAATGTATGATTCCTTAAAGAGATGGTGATAAAATGAGTATAGTTTCTGCAGAATTTTCATTGATCATGTGTTATTTTTTGAGTTTTAGGTTCAAAGTAAAAAAAAAACTGTAATGAGAGACTATTTTTCTCCTGACTTTTTTTTTCTGTGTGCAAAAAAATTCTAACTCTATCATTTAGAGTGCACGAGGCAAGGTGCTTTTTAGTACAAATAAAAATAACCTTGGTGTTAAATCAACTCCATTTGTTAGTTTTTCATTATTTTTTCTAAATAAAAAAAAAACGGTGCAGACAGGATTTCTAAACTTGCATTTTAAAGCGAGGTTCACTTAGAAATCAAATAATACTTGTTCTTTTTGAAATACAATCTAAGTTTCATATGCATGCTGAAGATGAAAATTCACTTCCATCTCTACTTCCTGCATTAGCTAACAAAACAAAATGGACGTGAGTCAGGACAACACTCAGGTCAGAATAAGTCACACAAACCGACGTTCCACTTTACTATTAGCATTCATTGACTCACCCACTTTGGCTCGTGACCGACTGTTGATTTTGCAGCCGGGAGAGAGCAGAGCAGAAGCTAACCGTTAGCATTAGAAAACCCACAACATGGCAGAACATGTTTAGGCTTCTGTAATTTTATGAAAATAACACATCAACATTTTTTATCCAAGAAAGATGCACAAACAGAGGTAGTGGGAATGCTGTGTTGCTGTTAGCCAATCAGAAGAAAGATGTTCACATATCCTGAATAATAATGAGTAAGACTCATTATCCTGTCATTTTCCACTCCCCCAACTTCTCTGACTAATTTCTACTACCTGAATTAGGAGCACCAGAGCTTTTTTCCACAGAAAACGACTCACAGGGCATTTATTCATTCTAGAGACCCAAGCGAGCATATGAATCCTTTAAGAGGTTTCGCTATTATTTCCCTGTTTTTCTACAGCGTGCACTTGCACCAAATGTACAATTTACTCCAAGTTGTTTGTGCAACTTTTGCCTCTAGCTGGGGGTGGGGGTGGGGGGTATTTTTGTAAAATAACAAAACTCCAGTGTTCTCTGTGTAAATACCTTCTCTGCTACATGAGGTACTTTTCCGTTTATTACCTCACAAGTGATCAGAAATGAGAATACCTGCAATAATTCAAAGTGATATCCTCATAAAGTTCTGTAATAGGAGAGATAAGTCATTCTTCTTAGCAGTTTTGATTAAGTCCTTCACTTTTGTTCTTTGTGCTCTTAAGTGTCACAGAGGAAACAGAGATCAGATACAGACTCAGCTCTGCCTGATGTGTCCACACTCAGAGCAACAGCCAAAGTACATGGACACAAACCGGCGTTGCACAATGTGTGCAAACATGCAAACATGTGAGCAGACATGATGCTAACTTGCTGCTAAAACACACAAGTTAGGGCAAGGGGGGAAAGTGCAGAAAAAAGGGTGGATCTTCTCCAACTTGAAAAGTTGTGCATTAATAAACAAGACTCGCTTGACTGATCTTGACACTTCTGTTCCACTGGCAGGTCTGTCAGCTCACTCACTTTCAATAAAACCAGTCAGCCGTCTAATGCCTTCACACTGTCAGTTAGCCACTATTAGGCCACAGATGAATATCATTCCCTCTGTTCCAATGAGGCAGTCAAGTGGTACAGCCTCTGAGAGCGCTGACACAATGATGAATAGCTACGGGCAGCCCTCGTACAGAAAGGAACGGTTTTCCCGCAGAACATTTTCACAGCCAGGAGAGAAGGACCGCTTTAAACTCCTGTAGAGTTCGAGTTGGCACTGAGGTGTCCTGATGGTCCTCCTGCCTTTAAATGCAGCACATCCCACTGTTGCAGAGAATGTTTTGTAGCACAACATAAACACGACGCATAATACAGCAGAGGTTTGGACTTCTCCCATCATGTTTTCAAAATCACGACCGCCATCGTGTCACTACTCATCCAACGTCCTGACTGTATTTCAGATCGAGCATCAGCGTTTGTGGGACTTGCGGCACTTCACCCAATCACAGCTAAGGCTGGTGACCCAGCAGTGGCACAGAGACGTGGAGGAACTGCTGGCCAGTGCCCGGGTCATGCTGCAGGAAGCAGACCATGCCCACCAGGAGGAGCTGGAGCTCCATAGGCAGCGTCAGCACCAGCAGGACATCTGCTTGCATCTCAAAGAGAAAGTTAGTGAACTTTCACTTAAGGACCTGATCCACATCTGTTAGTGTTGACAGAAATGAGCTTGCCTCTATTGTTGGGTCTAATGATGATGTCATCCTGCTTTAGATGTAGATGTGATAGTGAGATGTGTGAGGGGGCAGACAGCCGGTACCCTCTGACTGCCTGCTTGTGTATCTGCTGATGAGGCTGTATATGAGGCCAGGCTGCCTGACAGCATCCCTCGCTTTAGCTGCCACTTGGGACGGACTGTGAATGCAAACAAGCTAATAAGGATGTTCCAGCAAACATGATGCTGCTGTCTCTGAGGAGCACTGGTGCACACTGACACTATGCATCCGTGCGCTGTTGATACTGTACAGTACAAATAGATTTTGCTTAGCTTGTCCATAATGTAGCTTTTGTCCTGTGGCTATTTAGATAAGACATGCTGACATGTGCTGGTGCAGGCCGACATCACTGAAAGTTACTTCACCCATTTTCAGCGCAGAAGTTTTAGCACTGTCGGTTTGTAAAGTTTAAGATCTGTTTTCTGCTAAATCGTTTCTCATTATGATTATTTATCCGAATGAAACTTGGATAAAGTAACAAATAAAGGTAAGCCCCAAAAATAATCAACGTTAGCCAACTCAAACATGGCGGAAACTCAGAAGAGTGTATCTTTAAGCTACAAAGTATGAGCGACAGGTGATCGGCTCTGAAAGGTGTCTGTATGTCTTTCTGAATTTGCAGATCAGGCTTTTTTTCCCAAGGATATGAGCTGATTTTGATTGGTGGCTGAAGCCATACTTGAAACTATAACCATACTAACCCTAGCCCTAACTCATTTTAAGCTAACCGCATTGATGGGTGTTAAAATACCCTCTCAGTTTGTATTTTTCAATTTTCTTTACAGATCATCGCATCTCGTTGTCTCAGCAGCCTATAATTGGAAAATCAGTCTATAAAGAAGCTGAAAAGTGATTTATTTTGGTGTGAAAAGTGCAGTTCTTGAGAACCCCTGTCTCTGTCGCTGCTACTGAATAGAACTTCCAGAAACATCAAATAAGGCTCATTTGTCAGAAAGTCTGGTTGAATTTTCACTGTCTAATATATGTGTCTTGCACCAAACTACAAACAACTTGCAGTTTCTGTCATGTTGAGAGGGTGGAGATGGCAGACCATGTGTGGTGGAGAGTTCGGGAGGCAGAAGAGCAGGCACAGATGAAATAAAAATGGATTTAATGGTAACCGGGAGCGACAGGACAAAACGAAGACATGCACATTCAATGATCCAACGAAGACTGGTACAAGACGGGAGGTATAAATGCACAGGGAGAATTAGAAACACATGGGCATATTAACGAGGGGCAGGTGAGAACAATAGGACTAATTAAGGCAGAAGCGACACAGTCAGGGAGGCCGGGGCAGATCATGACAGTACCCCCCCCCCCCCCCCCCCCCACCCCCACCCCCTTAAGGGGTGGATACCAGACACCCATAAACCACATAGCACAGGAGACTAGGGAACACTGAAGACGTGACTCGGGAACACAGAACTCAGACCGGGGTTGCAGAGCAGGGGCCTCTCGGTTAGGCGGCACAACTCTGACTGACGAGGGTCTCTTGAGCATGGACCAGGAAAATCGGACACACGAACTCCTGACTCGAACACTTGACTTGAGACCACGAACACTTGACTTGAGACCACGAACACTTGACTTGAGACCACGAACACGAACACTTGACTTGAGACCACGAACACTTGACTTGAGACCACGAACACTTGACTTGAGACCACGAACACTTGACTTGAGACCACGAACACTTGACTTGAGACCACGAACACTTGACTGGAACACGAACTGGAAAACTGCAGCAGCCGGGGTGGGACCCAGTAGGAACTACAGCAGCAGGCGTGGGACCCAGCAGACACTGCAGCATGAAGGACCTGCAGGATCAGACCCGCAAGCGTGAACCAGGAAGCAGGACAAACAGCAGGAGCGACGCGAGGAAACCAGGAGCGGTAGCAGGTACTCGGCAAACAGTCCTGAGCAGGTGCACACCATGACTCGACTGGATCCACAGGCAGGCTCAGGTGAAGGGAAGCAGACAAGGAGCGGAAGACCAGCCCTGCCACTCTGAAGAACGCTGGCGTGCGCAGGGGGTTTTACCTCCATAGAAAACTCCAGAAAACAGCAGCTTCCACGAAAAACAGGATGGGGCGAAAACAGCAGGAGGAGAATGACCCTGACCACCCCGAAGACAAATAGGATGCGCCAGGATCTCCCAGAGGGCTTCGACCACCCCGAGAACAGGTAGGATGCGCCGAAAAACAAAACTCCAGGCCGGAATCTCCCTCCGCTGAAAGGGAGAGGAAAAAAAATCCTCCAGAACAGAATGTTAAGCTCACCACAGGTCCAGGTTAGTTGGATCATTCTGTCATGTTGAGAGGGTGGAGATGGCAGACCATGTGTGGTGGAGAGTTCAGGAGGCAGAAGAGCAGGCACAGATGAAATAAAAATGGATTTAATGGTAACCGGGAGCGACAGGACAAAACGAGGACATGTACATTCAATGATCCATTGAGATTGGTACAAGACGGGAGGTATAAATGCACAGGGAGAATTAGGAACACATGGGCATATTAACGAGGGGCAGGTGAGAACAATTGGACTCATTAAGGCAGGAGCGACACAGTCAGGGAGGCCGGGGCAGATCATGACAGTTTCTTTTAGTTCAATCTAATATTTTTCATTATGTAGCTGAAAACCTGATATGTGGTATAATATTTTTATAATTTACACATTTTTTACAAACCAAGAGAATAACTGTTGTGACATCAGAAACTGTACCAAATGCAGCAAAATGAGCATTTGTAAGAATGAAAGACACATTCTTTATATTTTTAAAGAATGCTAATTTAAGGGACAGCATGCTTCTCCTGGCACCTATGTGGTGTGTTCTCGACAATAAGAGAAACGGACAGATCACGTGGATTATGTGCCTGCAGAATTTGCAAACTCACTTTAATTTGATATCATTTGAAAAAAGTCTAAAGAAAAATGTCATTTTATAGACTTTTTAAATATTTCTGCATCAGCATGTTTATGCAGCGCTTTTGCACAAATTTCTGCTTATGTGGAGAATCAGATGGATGCTTGCATCCAGTCATTCTTTCTGCAGCTGTTATCATCAGTGCACTTCAACACAGCACTGAGACAAGATGATGTTCCTTTTGTTGCACCTTCTTTTTTTAAATGTTGGTATCTGTTGCATCTCTGACTTGTCTCATTTTATAGCTGGTTTCTAGAGTGACATCATCAAGGGGGGGGGAAGAGAGCTTTTAGATTTCAATCGCTGTAGCTCGCCCTCCCTTTCTGGTAGGAGCTGAAAGCCACGCCTCATTCCATGTTCAAGCAGGGAGAGCAAAGTCAACAGAGAACACTAGAACAGTAGTCTGTCTGATGTAGCATAAAGCTAGCCTGGCAAGCCAGACTAAATATATATATATATATATTTATATATATATATATATATATATATATATATATATATATATATATATATATATATATATATATATATATATATATATATAAAACTTAGCAAAGCAAGAATTTGGTCTAGTTCACTAGGCTAGCGTAAAGCCCAATTTGTGCTTTTCCATCAGCTCTGTGAGGGAGAGACGCACACGCATTGATGGAGACATTTTGCCTTCGGACTTCTCCGTTACCTGTGGAGTGTTACGGAGAAATCCGGTCCAAGTCCAACTATTGTGTTTGTATTGTGTTTTTGTGGTTCTGATACTTTTTAACACGGACGAATTTGTATCTCATTCTCCCGCATTTCTTCACGTGCTCGCTGCCTCTAATCCCACATTTCCCATGATTTTTGTTCACAAATAAAACGCTTGCTGCGTATCTTTATACTCCTCCAGTCACGGGTGGATAAAACGTTCATATATCCTGAGTTTTCTATTGCTGGATATCTTTGGCTTTCTTTTAATGTTTTTTTAGGGCGCAATGGCGGCGCTGTTGACAAATTCAAAGGAAGCAGCATTCTGACCAACCACAAGCTTGTTCTCTCCATCTAGTTCGAGGGATGGCCCAATCCCAATACTTGCACTTGCAGCCTTGGACCCTTCAATTGCACGTTTCCAGTCAGGGATGCGAGTGTGTAGGGTGTCTCGATTCTCAAGTGCGGAAGTTGACCACGCCCCCATTGCACTTTTAATCTGCTACTTCACACAAGTCCGCAGCGATGCGGTCCTGCAGGAGAAAAAGCTCAAGTTCCTTTTCTGAAAATATGTATTTTCTAAGGAAATTAGTTAATTTTAGGACGATTAGTTGATGCTCTAAAACTTTTAGACAAAACTGCAAAAAATGTAAATTTATTTCAAATAACTGTTTGTTTAAAATTTGTTAATAAAGGTTTTTGAAAAAAAGTATCACAGTGACCACATCTCGGCATGCGCTGCGATCAATGGCGCAGTGCTCCCTGTCTCAATTCTGCAATTATTTATACACTTGTGTAGTACGCACTCAAAGCCTTACAGCGCACTTTCTCCAAGTGCACTTTGCTGACGTCCGCAGGGCGCAGTGCGAGTATTGAGATTGGGCCGATGTTTAGAAAAGTGGACTCGAGCCCTTGTGAGCCTGTTGGAGAGCCCTCACAACAACAGATAATGGCGATGCGTGTCTCTGTACCGACACAGACGAAGAAGCATAAATTAGACAAAAGGCTGAGTGTTACACTAATCACTTCTTAGCTCCAATACACAAAAGGCAAATCCCATTTCATTCCCCTCCATCCTCTTCCACAGTTAGCTTGAATTTTACAGACGAAAATTAATTCAATGCGGGTTGAGTTAGCATTCAAGCTAGCACCATATTAGCCTGTTGTAAATGCATCACAAAACAATAATCTGCACTGTTATTAATTTTTTTTTAATAAAAGTGGGTTACGGTTCTCTAAAGTACATTAAATTACTTAGTATTTACCTGTCCAAAAGAAACTTGGCCAA